GCCCCGCAGGCGGCGCGGGAGGGCGCGGCAGAGGCTGCGATCCGAGCTGTTGAAACGCGGGGTGGCGTTCATGAAGGGTCGAAAAATCTTTTTCGCTGGAAGATAAGGCAAACGAGAGGTGCCGGCTGAGGGTGGTGAAGTGTGCTGGTGTCCGGAGACTGTCCCTTGTTTTATGATTTCGTATAGAGTTTGGCAGACTAAAGCGCTGTATCATTTCCACACCACTTTCAATTGTACAATGGCGTGTTTCTTGGTCGATTTTTTTTACTTCATCAAATTGTAAGATTTGAAGTGCAACATATTGGCGACGTAAGCGCAGTGACAAATCATGAAACTTGTACGATGTGATAGGCTTTATTTTAGAATTTCATTTAAGATTAACGATGTTATGCATTGCCAACGCACCGTAAATGAGCAGAAACGACGACATCAACAGAGATCCTCACATGGAACAACGCTCACTTCAACCCGTAATCTGTGAACACATCCCATGTTCGGAATATTGAAGAAATATTATGACTGAAGAGAAAAATCGTATAATCTTGTGAAATGCAATGATTCATAAATTACACAGAGATAACAAAGAGGATGGCCGAGATCGTTAAGGCAATTGTGTCGTAACGATCTCAAACTGAAGGATCGCGGGTTCGAATCCCGCCTCGGGCATGTTGTATTTGTGCTCGTCTTTCACTCCCTATCATCATCATAATCACGTGAACTTCAGAGTTACCATAACGTTAAATCCAATAGTAGACGCTAATGACCTATTTGTTGATGCGACTTCAAATAACCAAAGAAAGGAATGGTGAATACTGTTATAGAAACATTCTGTGAATTGCTATTAGAGAAACAACATAGCACAACTACCAATGCTCATGAAAACGAAAAGAAAAAGAGGAGAAGAGAGGAGTTTATGAAATGTCTAAACTTACTTTAACATCACGCAGGGGCAGATCCAGCAGATCATTTTGGGGGCCCAGCGTAGATATTTATTAAATAATTAGATAATTCGAATATAAATTAATATTTAAATTAATTTTGTCAAATAAAGGAAGGTAAACCAAAGCTATTGGCTGCGGGGGGGGGGAGCAAGGCCACCATGGCCTCTCGCTCGATCCGCCAGTGACACAATGTAATATCAAGTTGGCAAAATCTACTGCACGGCATTGCACGTGGCTGTTATTTAATAAATTAATTTCTCAATTAAGAAGGACGGGGTTCAGTCGTCCAATCTCTTGTCTATCCGACACTCAGAGAGCTCAATGTGAGCTCAATAATATTAGCCGTCACTTAACACTCAAATTAATCTCATCTTTAGATTTCATGGATAGCCTCATTAACAAAATCCGTGATGAAACCGTCATGATAGTGTAATTGGACTACAGTCGTGATACGACGTCGACTATAAAACTTCGATGTTAAAAATGAAAAGATCAACGTTAATAATATCCCGGCCAAAAATCCTCAACGTTTTTCACGCACACTGATGTTTGAAACATCGCCTAGGAAGGAAACTTTGTCAACGAACTATGCTTCCCAAATTTTCAAGCTAATGGTCATTTTACATTTTACAAAAAATTGCTTCAGTCATCATAGTAAATTCAGAACATTTTTTGAAAGCTTAAAATGAATATTACAATAGTAAAAATATTTAAGGGGATAGAAATAGAAAGAAAAGCAAGCGTCGGCGAAAGACGCCGCAACAGCATTTCTGTTGCATGACGTTTTTGACTAAAAACATGTTTTACGGCAAAAAAGAGATATCAAACACATGAGTAGGTCTAAGCATTTAAGCAATTCTTGATCCATTGATCATCGTGGAAGATCCTTGATGGCTCGTTCGCGCAATACGAATGTGGTGTGGCAGGCCTAACCAATGTAACTACCACACACATTTTGTTGAGAAAATGTCACCCTGTCCATCCGTATTCTGGACTTGGAAATTGCACCAAATTTTGATGCGAATTAAAAGAGAGAAGTAACAAGGCACATGGTTCTTAAAACACTATGCGCATTAGCACACAGGTACATCACATTACGAGTAAATCACGGAAATCTTGATGGTTGGCATGGATTTCGAGGGACCACTCGCCGAATCCTGAGCTGTCGGGAAAGGTTTCTTACATTTTGACTAATGTCAGTCACGTAAGTAGGGCAAGCACCAAATGCTTATGACTACGGCTTCTCACATTTTGCCAAATCAACATTATTGACATTACACCTTGCTTATGAATGATATACAAAGGCTCTCTTTAGATCACATTAGATTTTGAGTTCAGAAAAATGAGAATGAAAATACATTCACACTTCATGTGCGGCTCACTCCGTGTAATTAATGCGATCCCATGTAGCGTAAAATATCAGTTCAAAGTATCATTATTTGCGGACGAACTCCTCAAATGTAATTAGGCAAATGTGAAGATATCTGAGTGGTTAAGAGAAAGAGTAGGCTTCATGGCCAGAGCTTTTTTCCAGAAATAAAGGCATAACTAATTATTATTATTATTATTATTATTATTATTA